CATATGGATATCAATGAAGGATGCCAGTAGTCCATCTGCTATCACCCTCTCTGACAACATGACTAGCCAACCTTCTTTTCTGGGCAGAAATTTCTCTGATGATATCCAGGAGGTACTACAGCCAAAGGAACTCAAAGAGCCTTAGCATCTGGATCCTATTAGTACCTTATGGTGTTAGACAACTTCCTCATGTCTTATGATTATTGTCTCATTGTCACTAAATAGAGAGAACAGATTCATGTATTCATTCATCATTTTATTGAGCGGCTACAATGGATAAAGCACAAGTAGATTTTTATACCACCTTTAAGTGATACAAAGAAAAATAAGACGTAATTCCTGTGCCCATAAAAGTTTTAGTCTAATGGGGGCATGGAGAGACACGCACAACTGTAATAAATGGTATACTATAGAGTTCACAGTAGTGAAAGATTACCTCATGGAGGAGACAGAATTTGCTATAGGCTTTTTAAAAGGTTGTATAGACATCAAACAGTATATGATAAAGGATGGAATAAGGTACTCATAGCTATGGGAACTATGCCAGCAAAGGCATGGAAAATGGAAAATATAGGTGTTTGTTGGGAGAACAGCCTGTCCTCTTTGATTGAAATATAGGGAAATCAGACTTGAAAGGGAAAGAATTGTGGAATGTGAGTTAGAATACTATCTGATTCTAATCCATACCTGAGCAGAGGCCTTAGCTACAACATCCCTAATAAGCAATCAGCCATCTACTTAAGGTCTCTGTGTGTGTGTGTGTGTGTGTGTGTGTGTGTGTGTGTGTATTTCTTCTGATCTACCTGTTTAAGAACTCTATCAAAAAAGGAAATATGGTTAGTCTGGCATAATATCTATTTTTGTTCAAGAAAATTTTACTGTATCAATATCTTTTAGTTTTATGTAATTTTCAAATATATCTATATGCATTTAACTATTCTTTTTTAAAAGAGAATAAAAAGGAACTAATCACAAAACAGCTAAAACATCAACCAAATCTTGTATTCAATATTTTACATCTATAAGTTTGAACCAACATTTGACACCAGAGGTATTAAAACATTTGTTTGGAAACACACGTGACTTTAGTCCAAGCTGGATTAAAATGTAATTGGGAAATATTTAACAAAATAGATGAAAATACAATAAAACATAGGTAATAACCATTTTAAAACTAAGTAAATATGTGGCCTGCAGGAATCTTTATGTAGAGATCAGTGGACCTCATTTCTACTTGGGTTTAGCGTCACTGTCATATACCATATACTGCAATAAACTCAAAATATTTATATGACCAGAATAAAATGTCACACCATAAAAGGCAATTAAAAGAGAATGAGATTGGATACCTTCCATAGCTATGCTATGAAGGAACATTCTTAACCAAGCAAGAAATACAGGCAATAATAATAAAAGAAGAAATAGTTTCAATTGCATGAAATTGAAAAGATTTTGGATAAAGTCAATGCAACAAGTGTGAAGAAAATCTTTGTATCTACTACCTCTTATTGTCTTGTAGGAAGGGAGAAATTTTAATAGTTGGACATGGAGTGCATTCCAGACATAGGAAAGGATGTAAGTAGAAACACTTTGAGGGTTTTTAATAAAATGCTAGCAAGTAGATTACAGCAGTATGTCACAAAGCTCATACATACATTATAACCAGGTTGGATTTTTCCCAAAAATTCAGGGCTAGTTCAATATTAGGAAATCTATAGGCACAACTGATTATATCAATTAAAAACAACAAAAATAATATGATTACATGAATAGATGTTGAAAAAGCTTTTGACAAAATATAATGCCCGTTAACTACTAAAATACTACAAAGCACAGAAATAAATGGAATTTTTCTTAAAATCATAAATAGTATCTATTAAAAGCTAAAAACAAGCATTATCTCTAAAGATAAATTGGAACTAAACTACAAGCCTTTCCAATTCAATCAAGGATGAATTGAGGGTCCTTTATCACCATTATTATATGAGATAGTACTAAAAATGCTAGCCATTAGCAATAAGACAAAAATAAATTGAAGAAGTAAGAATAGGTAAAGGAAAAACAAAATGATCACTGTTTGCAGATGATATGATGGTATACTTAAAAAGCCCTAAAGAATCAACTAAAAAACCAGTTAAAACAATTAACAACTTTGGCAAAGTTACAAGACGTAAAATGAACCTACACATATCATCAGCATTTCTATATGTTATCAACAAAGTCTAGCAGAAGAGATAGAAAGAGAAATTCCTTTTAAAATACTGACAGACAGTAAATACTTGGGAGTCTACTTGCCAAACCTCACACAGGAATTGTATGAACACAATTATAAAATACTCTTCACACAAATAAAGACAGATCTAAACAACTGGGGAAATATTCAATGCTCATGGATGAGCAGAGCCAATATAATAAAAAATGACAATACCACTACTTTTGCACAAATAAAATGAATGCAGCCAATAATAGAATGAAAATAGGAAACTAGGGGATTTTTTACATTGTTTTTCTTGAGACAAGAGTTTTATTTCTCAATATAGAGGGAACTGAGATAAATTTATATATATATATATATATATATATATATATATATATATGTATATGTATATAAAAATAAGGCCTTTCCCCATCGATAAATGGTCAAAGCTATAAAAAGGCAATTTTCAAAAGAAGAAATACAGGCTGTCACTAGTCACATGAAAAAAATGTTCTAAATCACCATTGATTAAAGAAATACAAATTAGAATAACTCTAATGTAATACCTCACACCCATTGGATTGGCTAATGTGATAGAAAAGGAAAAATTATAAATGCTGGTGAGAATGTTTAAAAATAGATACACTAATGTGCTGTTGGTAGAGCTGTGAACTGGTCCTGTCACTAGTGAGAACAATTTGGAACTATGCCCAAAGGGCTCTAAATCTATGACCCAGAAATACCACTACTAGGTCTCTATAGCCCCAAAAGATTAAAAAGGTGGTGGTAATGGTGCTCATATGTACAAAAATATTTATAGTAGCTCTTTTTGTAGTGGAAACTGAAGGTGTACTCATCAAGTGGGGAATGGCTGAACAAATTGTGGTACATAATTGTGATGAAATACTTTTGTGCTTTTGGTGTGATGAAGGTGATGTTTTCAGAAAAAAACTTAGAAAGACTTAGATGAACTGATGCCAAGTGAAATGAGCAGAACTTTGTACACAATAACAATATTTTAATGATAATCAACTATGAAAGACTTAGCTACTCTGATCAAGACAATAATCTAAGACAGTTCCAAAAGACTCATGATAAAAAAAAAATGCTGTCTACTTCTAGAGAAAGAACTAATCTCTCTGAGTGAAGATTGAAACATTTTTTCTTTATTTATTCTTCTTGCTTTCCTTGCCCTGCATAATGTGTCTAATGTGGAAATGTTTTTTATGACTTCATATGCATAACGGATATTGCATTTCTTTCTTTCTCAATAGATGGGGGAGGGAAGAAAGGAAAGAAAACAATTTGAAACTGAAAATAAAAATCAAAAAGTAAAATAAGAAAAAGTAAAACAAGAAAAAGAAAAAATAAAAAGAAACACAGAAGAGAACGAGAATGGAAGTGAATTATTTGTAGTTAAGTCTGATGGAATATAGAGCATGGGAAGGGAAGCAGTGTAATAAAGGTCTAGAAAGGGAGATTGGTGATGACTTGAATGACAAGATAATAAGGACATTATACTTCACTTAACAATATGGAACCATTACAGTTTTTTGAGCAGTGGAGTAACAGTTATCAATGTGAAGAATGTGTAAGAGAAAGTGCTGTAGAAAAGTAAAAGGCAAGTATGAAGAGTGTTCAATATTTAGTAAATATATTTTGTGGGTATATAATCAATGTTAATGAAAATTAATTTAACAGTATAAATTGCATTCAATTTCACACAGAGAACCCTAAACATTCCTCTCTATATATCTTTCTGAAACTTTTTCTTCCCACTCTTCAACATCTCTGGATAATTTTCTATGACAGTTGGCCTGATGTATTTACTTCTTTATTTTCCATCATTTATGGTCTCTTCATAATAATAGGTTGTGACCTTAGCTTCCTAACTACTTTTTAATGAGCTCAGGGTTTCCATAATACAGATACAATTCTTACACAATTAACACAATCTCCTGTATAACCTATTCTACCCAGGATCAATAAGCCTAGATGAGTTTTCTGGAAAAAAAAAAGTTTCCTTTTAAAACTGATTGAGAGCTCAGAGTATGGTAGAATGGGGAACAGAGTTGGATTTGGAATTAGAGGGGTTGGATTGAATTGTGGCTCTGCAGTTCACTACCTGGGACAACTCACTTAATGTCTTTGAGCTTGAGTTTCCTCTTCTGTCAAATGAAAGGGTTGGACTAAATGACCCATTAGGTCCCTTCCAGTTCTAAATCCATGAGTCTATGATTAATGCATTGAAGGAGTAGTGATGGTTTTACATTTATATTCACATCCCCATAAAAAAAAATGTGCCTCTTCTGCTTCATTTTTTTTTAGTGGCAGAGTTTACTACATTGGGGCTAAATACCTAAATCTCCTGAATCACAGAAGATTAGGGCTCTTCCTAATGTACCTCTCTGTTGTGAGTATCTTTCTTTGGATTTTTCCAAAGGACATAGGCAAAACCTTATTATCAATCCTCAATCCTTCCCTCCTTTTCTCTTTACCCTTGACTCCCTGCCGCCCTCCCTTCCACCTACCACTCTTTGAAGGTGGAAGAATCCAGGTCCATAACTTTTCCAGTTCAGCCTCTTCTGGTAGAAGTGACTAATTCACTCTTTCTCCAGGCCACGGAATTATTAAGGAGTTTGAGAACTTCCTTTTCAGTCCAGTTATTGTCTGCCACCTCATAGGGTAGTCTTAGAAACCTTGTTGCTCCTGGTGATTACCCTTGGTAATCTCCACTGGGGATGTTCTGAACAAAGTGATCAGCAAGCCCTCTCCTAATTACTATATTTCATAATCTTGACAGGGCGCACTCTGTTGGAAAAGCTGTTTAGCCAGCAAGAGAACGCACCACCTGAAGAAGCAGAGAAATTTTGTTCTCGGATTATTGCGATGGGTCTTCTACTTCCTTTCAGCGACTGCTTCAGGGAACAGTGTAACCAGAGTGCCCAGCAAAGCTCAGCTCCATTTGATGTAAGTCATGGAATTTATCCGTGCTTGTATTCTAGGCTGCAGGAATGGTATCTTTGATCTGTAATACTCTCTAATCACCCTATGTGCTCTGAAACAGAACATCATACATGCTGCCTTTCCCCAGTGTCTCTCAGTAGGTTTTCTCAAATGAACTCAGTATGTTCCAGGTTTTCACATTTTTCCCCTTTATAGCTGCTTTTTAATCTGTCAAACTTCCTCTGCTTAGCTGACAGTTATAGTGATTATTTTCTAGCCTGTATCTCAGTCACTGATGAGTGTATTGACCAGATAAGTCAGCTTTCTTGGCTTTGCAGGTACTTAGATATACATTCTTCCAACTGCATTTTAGCATATAATATCCTTCCTATGATTCAGCTGATGCTATTCCACAGGGCAAGACTGTTGTTCCCATTGGGCCTGGGTTTCCATGAACCCTTGGATACTACATCAGTACATTTCATAACTCATTTATGTATTTAAATAATCACACGAAGAAGCTTCATTGTTTGTTCCCTACCCACTGATAATCAAGACAGTTAATGCCCCAGGAAAGCAATTCAAAAGGCATAGTCATCATTATTAAGAACATCAGCACAATTGGATTGTTAAGAAAAAGATATCACTCATCTTTCTCAGAGGTATGTGATTTGTATGACGTATTGGCTTCAATGGGATCACATTTGAGAATAAATGCATAAGAATTCCTGTCAGAAATGGGCTAGTCAAATCAGCTGGATAGCGCTCGGTACTAAAAAAGACAAAATCATGACATTAATTTCATATTCAGTTCCAAGACTGTCTCATCCGCTAACCCAGGCACTGCCTCTTAAAGGTGGGTATGTTCTTTGTTAGTAGTAAGGAGTTTTAGAAAGAAATGTATAGCCCTTGGAGGGAGAAGTGTAAAGGAATAAGAGGAAATGCTTTGTTTCTTTTTTTCCTTTCCTTCGGTGGGCCACAGAAATCCTTGTTCTTGCTCAATTTCTGTTCAGAACTTGCACTAAAATGGGTCAGCGGCTGAACAGGCTATTTTGTCACCTTCTGGCTACTTTCCTTCTGAGAGAAGTTTCCCTAGGATATTCAGTAACTTGTGAAGCCTTCTTCTCGAGGCTATTCTTTTGTCTCTCTTCAAAGCTTGTGAGTGTTCTTTTTGAACAGGGACATGTCAGCTGACCATTGCTGGCTGGGTTTGTTCAGCACCATAAAAATAGTTCCCCTTGCCTATAGGAGCAATTGGATGAATCTGAGCCTTTCCCTCTCTCCTCTGACAGAGGTATGAGTCATCATGGAGACAGAACTTGAGGAGCATAATAAGTAGGGAGAAGACAGTGTTTATTTCCTCTCCCTCAGAGTTTTGAAGCTTTTAAAGCCAATCACTAAAAGAAATTGGATCTTGGCAAGTCAGAAGAGACCTCTGATAAACAGAAATGCAGCAAGCTGCTGTTTACAGCCCGTGTTCAGCACCTGCCTTTGCTTGTCTCTGTTCCCAAGGCAATTTATACTCTTTACCATGAAGCTCAGAAGCAAATCACATGAAGGAACAGGGGGGATGGGGGTGGGGTGGGAAAGAGGAGGTAACCAGAACAGAGTAACTGTCTCTCTCACTTCTATTTCTTCTTTCTCTTTATTTGCTGGAGGAGACAGCCTCCCTCCTCAACCCCTCAATGCTATCTCCCACCCAGCCACATGCTGATGCAGTGAAGGACTATATATCTGCCTTTGGGCCCGCTTTGCTCATTTGGAAGAGGGGTATTACCATGTTGGTCATAGTGTGATGAACTTTTCAGGTATAGCAATTCTCCATCTACTAAGTTATGGAGGGGTTGCAGTCTGCATTGCAATGCCCACACTGATGAAATTACAGATACTTGAAGTATATATTTGGGGAGACCAGTTTCTTTTACTCTGTTGATGATGTTAGAGTACAGTTCTACCAACCCCCCCAAAAAAAACCCATGTCATTCCAGCAACTTAGGGAGGAATTTTTTTTCAAGGAGGGACTCTGTTTCCCATTTTTCTCCAGCTTTTTAGGGGAAAAAAAAAAACTTGCTTTTTCCTCACCTTCTCCTGAAAAAAAAAAATCCCGAGTGAAAAAAAATTGAAAATGAGAAAAAAAAACATAGGCAAGTCAGGAGAGAAATTAAAAAAAGAAAGAAAGAAAGAAAGCAAAGCTTTAATAAGCCTCTGTAGAACTCTGACTGTTAGTAATCAAAAGATGGGTCACTCAAAGAAGTCTGTACTTTGTTCAAAGTAATATTAGGATCACTAGAAGTTCAAGGAGTCTGAGATGTTCAGAGGGGACCAGTATGGAATATATCTGTTGTCAATGAAAGAAAAAGTTTAATCCATGTTACCAAATAACTGTTGGGAGGACTTCAGACTCTACATACACATCTAAGAGGGTCAGTCATTTACAGTATTAAAAATATGGCTGCAGCTCTTCCTTTCCCTTAGTGTTCTTCCATAGCAATGTTAATTTCTTTTCCTTTTTTCTTCTCCTAAATCTTCTCAAAGATATTTAATGCAAATATTTGGAAAAGCCAAACATTTGCCTCACGATTTCTGAGTTGTGGTCATTTGGCATAGCTTGAATATATAGTTTGTTCTGTTGAATGAGTCTTTTATTTTAAATACTCATGTTTACAAAAATCACAGAGACCTCCATTTCTGTTTATGACCTGTAAGTGGAAACATGAGAAGTGTCCTTTTCTTCACTATCAGTGAAATCCTTTTCTTAATTTTCAAAATCGTAAAAGAATAAGTTGCTAAGAACTCTTGCTAGGACTTAATTGGGACCTAATAAATGCTTCTTGATTGATCACAACTCATTTCAGGAGGAGGAAAAACATAATTTAATGTCTGTGATACATAGAGAAGAGTGCCCTTTCAGCTAAATGTTAATTTTCTGGAAGACACTAAATTTGTTACCCATAAATTAATTTAGTGACTAGAGAGTCAAAAAATAAAGATATAAAATTAAGACATAAAGCACAATCCTTAAATTGATCTTTTAAAAATAGAGTTAATTTATTGTTTTATCCATTCTTTTTGTCATACTCTTTCTTTTTATGTTATTAGTAGAAGATTCCAGATGCTACCACATAATTTCTTTCTCTTTTTCATATAATCATGACATCTAATTCTCTAACTCCCTCACTCATGAAAAAAACTCCAAAATAAAAGTGCTTCAGAGCTAATAGGAGATAAGTCTGGGATTTTGTCACTGTGCTTAGACTCTGCAGCTTGTACAATAGAGTTGTAGGCCATGGAAGGTATTTTGTGACCTGTCAGGGAAGGGATGTTTTTTTAAAAAAACCATTGCGGGCAGCCTTTCTCATTTGGCATCATGAATTTGAAATGGTTTGCAAGCCCTAAAGCACTGTATAAATGTGAGCTTTAATTTAGTCATTATTTTTCTGGAAAATCTGCTTTCTCTCCTAACTTCCTTATTTCTGACAGTGGTACCTCATTCACCCAAGCAACAAGCATTTATTATTCATCAGATTTAGTAATAAATGGTAGAGATACAAAGACAGAAGCAAAATATCCCTTGCCCTCAAGAAGTTTGCACTGTATCATGGGAAATATCGTGTAAACAAAGGAGAAGGAAGCTGACATATTCTTAATATACTTGTAATATATAATATTTTACTCCTATAATTATAATGTATTATATATACCTACATATGTGTACTTGTAATATTTATATATCATACTTATAGTATATTACATATTATAACATACTATAGTGTATTGGAATCTATTATTAGGATAGATTCCAAAATATTATATTAAGTAATTATAAATATTATACTATGGTTTAACAATATGATATATATGTAATCTGTCATATATATTTAAAGTTATAGTCTATAAGCACAGGGACTGGTGGGAAGAAGGAAGGATATGGATATGGGTCAAGAAGAAAACATCTGCAGTTTGAAGCAGCTGAGCCAGTAGTTGGAGAGGCTAGAGATGGAGCAAGACAGTTGGACTCCATCCTTAATTACTCTATATAATTAGATTTGCTGCCTATCCATATTGACCCAGATTTCAATATAATATTGGATTCCAATATAATAATTGCATACTTATATTTTATTAATTATATATTATATGTAATATAATATATGCTATATATTATAAGATAATGTAATTAATATTGGAATATATCCTAATATACTTATAATACCTATTGACATGCTTATGCTCATAATATATATACTACTATGGGCTCCTCAAGGACAGGTACTGTTTTGGCTTCTTTTTGTATCCCCAGTGCCTTGCTCTGTGCCCGGCACATTGTAAGTGCTTCACATATTCTTGTTGACAAGGTGATTTTGGGAAAGGGACAGAACTAACAAATCAGGAAAGGTTTCAGGTACAAGGAGTCTTGTAAGCTGAATATGGGAAGGAATTCACCATTATCAGAGGCATAGGTGAGGAAGGAGTTCACTTGAGACATGGGGTGAGGGAGGTCAGAATTGAAGGGGGAGAGATGGAGAGGAGGGGCATGCAGCTAAGGAGAAAGGTATGGAAACAAGAAGTGGATTGTCCTATGTGAAGAAGAGCAAGAAAAAGCCAGTTTTGGTCATGATCCACAGAGTTAATGAAGCAAGTAATGTGTAATAAGGCTTAAAACCAAGACTGGGTCTAGGTTGTTAGGGGTTTTAAATACCAAACAAAAGGGTTTGTATTTGATCCTGTGGTAACAGGGAGTTATAGACATTTATTGAGCAGGAGAGTGACACAGTCAGACCTGTGCTTTAGGAGAATCACTTTGGCATCTGTGTGGAGGATGTTATGAGAGGGGAGAAAGATTTAGGTAGGGGCTGCATTTAGGAGGTCATTGTAATAATCTACATGAAAGTTGATAAGGGACTGAATGAGTAGAGGGTAGATGTGAAAAAAAGGTTGTAGAAGCAGGTGATTGTTTGGATACGTGGGTAGATAAAGAATCAAGGGTCAAGAATGATTCATTACATTGTGAATATGGGGGACAA